GGGAGAAGCTGTGCCCCTTTGCTTGGGGTGAATAAGGAGCCCTTGGGCGGTTCCCCTCTTCAAGCCCAGCTGGCTCTGCGCTGCAGTGGAAAACCTGCTGTCAGATGTGATGGCACCACATCTGGCACCTCTGCGGAAGCCAAAGCCCCCCCCCCTCAGTTCAGGCCCCAGCACAGAAGCCCCAGCCAGGAACCCAGGGCAGCCTCTGTGGTGGCCCTTTGGCTGCAGAAGGGAGAAGAGGAAAGAGTGACTTCCAATCTCCCTTCCAATCCTCCCTCTCCCATCCCAACCTGGGAGGCAATTCCTCCTCCGTGGGAAAAGCCGTTCTGGGCCTGCAGTGGGTGCCCACAGCCGTGGCTGCCTGCTTCTCTTGCGCTGCCCTTCCCTCTCCTCTCCTCCCAGGTGTGGTGACAGACTTTGACTTCTCCCCCTTTGACCAGCAGCTGCTGGCCACCGGAGCAGCAGACGAAGCCGTAAGTGCGGCATCCATTGCCTCGCTCCCCGCCAGGGTCCCTCTCCCTGCAAGGGCGGTTCCTGGGGGAACTGGGATGGGTGCAGAGGGGAAGAGGCACCAAAACGCCTTAGCGGAGAGCTTCCCCCTCACCCTCAGCGCTGCCAGCCACCCCCTGAGTCTTCAGATGCTGGGCTTCTCTCTCCCGCAGGTGAAGGTGTGGCGTCTCCTTGAACCTGGCCAAGACCTCTCGTCTTCCCCCCATGTGACGCTGGGGCCAGAGGGGAGCCGGGTGGAGGTGCTCCTCTTTCACCCCACGGCGGACGGGGTCCTGGCCAGTGCGGCCGGGAAGGCGGTGGCGATTTGGGATGTGGAGCAGCAGCAGATCCTTACTGGTACGGTCCTAGTGGGCGCCCTTTGATTGCTCTCTGGGTGGGCTGGGAGATGCCAGGGATCCTGGGTGAGAGCAGTTACCCCCGGCAAAAGCGGAGCAGCCATTACCAGCCCCTTCTGCCCTCTGCTTTCATCATGCTGCCCAATTCTCTGCCAGTCTGGAGCTGTTCCCTTTGCCCATCCCAAGCAAGCACCAAGAGCTGCTTCCCAGTGCCTGGCCGGGCTTCCCCAGGGCTACGGTCCTTCCAGAGGACCTGACCAATTTCCCGGGAAGCACAGCTGAGGGGCTGCATTTTTGGGCTCCCTTTCTGGAGCAGACTGGCCTCCTGAGCCGCTGCCACATGGGTAGCTGCTGAGGGAAGGTGGCCAGAAAGCAGGGCGGCAGGCGAGCCTCTGGTCAGGAAGAGCGGCCCTGGCAGTCACAAGGAGAAACCAGGCAGGCGCGAGAACCACAGAGAGCCCGTTGCCAAGCAACCTCGACGGCCCTGTGGCAGCTTTCTGCCCAGGTGCTTTCAGAAGGCGGGAGGAGACGGGGGCATTTTCTGGGCCGAGGACAGGAAGGGGGGGGGCAACTTTGGAATTGCTCAGGCTGCGGCCTTGCAGAGAAGGTGCAAGGAGGTGATTGCCGCTCACCCCATGTGCCCCCTTCCTTGCCCCAGTTCAGGGGCACTTGCAGCAGCTCCTGCCCCAGAGCCAGCATTGTGGGCCAAGCCCACCCTCATGTGGAAGTGGGAAGGAGGCAGGAAAGCTCAGAGGAGAACGATCCAGGAGGAGCTGCTCAGTTGTCTCCATGCAAAGTGGGGGGTGGGGTGGGGGTGTCCCTTTGGCATCTTGTGCAAACCCTGGCGCTTGTCAGTAAATCAAGATGAATAATTGTGGCTTGGAGAGATCCGGGCTGGAGGGAAGGCTCCTCCCTGGAAAGCGGCCCCCCCCCGCCCCCCCCCCCCCCCCCCCCCCAATCAAGCCAGGGAGGCTGTTGCTCTGCCACGTGAGGCAGCTCTCCTGGCCTGAGTTGGGGAGCCCTCCTCGTAA